TTTGGTTTATGTTTTCCCAAAAAATGAAAAGGTACCTTAAGGGGGCTTAAAGCACTGTTTTATTTTACAAAGTACCTAATAGGGCTGGTTGGCATGCAATGGGTTTTGTTTGCAAACAGTAACCCCAAACCAAATTATAACACCACACCAAGTGAATACACATATGCCTCCACATCAGTATTTGGGTACATTATGTCAAATTATGCCTTAAAATGTCATCAAAAATTCATAGGGCAAGAGCAATTACATTAGGTGAACAGACATAAATAACAAAAGAAAAAACACATGCACAATACAGAAATTATAATCAAATATTTTCATTACACATTTTTGAGGCATTCCCATTTCTATGTTTTGTTTCATTCTGCAAAAAAATAAAAAGGTACCTAAGGGGGGCTTAAAGCACCTTTCATTTTACAAAATACCTAGTAGGGTTGGTTGGCATGCAATGGGTTTGGCTTGCAAAACCGTAACCCCAAGCCAACCAATAACACCACACCAAATGAATACACATATATCTCTACATTAGTATTTGGGTACATTATGTCTCAAAGTTTCAAAAAACCCTAGGACATTACATTAGGTGAACATACATAAATAACAAAACAAAAAGCCACATGTACTATACTGACACTGTAATCATTTTTTGCCATTTATACCATCACTGGTTTTTGATTGAGTATATATATATATATTCATACTGTATATAGATGTTTAGATATACTATTTATTTGTTCATTTATTGCTGTTTGTTATTCATTCTTTATGTATACATATATATATGTGTATATTTGTTTTATCTTTCTATGTGTTTGTTTATCTAGCTAATGTTTTTTGAACACGACCTACTTCTTAAAGTCGCAGCATATCTTTAAGTATTGTTTTCCATTATTGCATGCATAGGACACATATTCATTTCACAAAAACATATTACCATCCAAAAATAAGAAATCTCATGCAACACCTTTTGTGAATGAAAAGTATCACAATGGCTGGTTGATACATTCACGAGGTCTTTGGTATTTGGGCTACTTTTTTTGGTGAAAGGTTGGAAGTTATGTCAATTGTACAAGTGCATGTACAATCTATGTAGCACAGTGGTGCTCAAGATTGAAGTTACTTGTCACTTGTCGCCCCTGTTGGTATCCTCATGAAGAGGCCTGTTCACCTGATGCTATGCTTGCATTTTGCCTCCACCCGAACCAGCACCAGAATCTGTAGAACAGGCTTCTCCAGAAGAAGCTGCCCCATAAGCTGACTTATTTTCTTAGACACTGCAGCACCAAAGGCAAAGGTCAAAGCCAAGGTGAAAGCAAAATCTAAAGTCAAGGCAAAGGCAGCAGGTAAAGCCAAGGCTGCTGCCAGCAAAGCTCCTGGGGTTACTTCTTCGCCAATGAAAGCTCAAAAGGCAAAAGCCAAGAGCACAATGAAGAAAATCCTGAAAAGACCTGATGCAGCTGAAGGCGAAAGCCAAGGCCAAAGCGAAGACTGTAAAGGCGATGGCAGCAAGATGGAAGAAGACCAGGGATGAGCCAGTTCCTGATGACCATGCAGAAGGAGAAGATGAGGAGCCTAAAGGAGGATGCAACAGTTGCTGATGATGAGCATTGAAGCTACCCCAAGGTAAGGAAATGTGCCAGAATGATCAAAAGTGGCCAGGTGCCAGAAGATCTTCAGCAGCTCTATGAAGAGGGCTCCAAGCATTCTCCTCCCCCAAGGTTATTTAAGAGTCAGTTCATCAACAAAGTCTTTCAGTCTTTCAGCAGAACACCAGAGGCGAGTCTGTGTTTGCTCCTGGAAATACCCAGTGTTCGAAGTTTTCAAGAACAACTCTGAGATTTGCACCAACAAATTTCAGTTTACTGGGTTGGCTTAGGTTGTGGACAAAATCCAGGGAAACCAGCAAGCTTTGAATGATGCAGAAAGACGAGGTGATGTCTATCAGAAAGATGGTTACTATCATGTCAAGACAATAGCCACAGCCATTGAGAAGAAGCAGGGCAGTTCCATGGTCTTGCATGGTGGGCAAGCCAAGCTTACCAAGGATGAGTATTCGCAGATGAGTCAATTCATGTCGAGCAGGCCCTGGAGCCAGTTTGGCACTGGAGCTAGTTGTGGTGGTAGTGGTAGTGGCAGTGGTAGTTGTGGTAGTGGTAGCAGTGCTTCCTCTACACCAGCTGTGGTTACTTCATCCTCAGCATTGCCAAAGCGATTTGTGATGCTCCTGTGAAACTGAGCAGGGCAAGTGCTCCCAGGAGCGACTGGGCAGAGATTGTCAAAGACCGGATGTCAAAATCTTTGACAAGAAAGACCAAAAACCAATTATACTTTGATGGATGTCCTCACCGAGCTTTCAAAGACAGAATGTATGCTTGAGGTTACTTCATTGAAGCTTTGATGTTGTATAACATATCTTCAAAACTTTCAACCAGATTTGATTTTACATATATTGAATTCAAAAATCTTGATTTGCTCAAACAACAAAAAGTTCAAACTATATAGTTTTTGCACTTCCAGTAATCATGTAGAACTAACTGCGCACAAACTTGTGTAACAAAAATATTGCTAAAAGACCTTTCAAACAATTGATAACAGTCACTTTACTATAGTACAATGTTAAGAAAAAGTCGAAATTCATTATCTTTTTTTCCATGAAAAAAAGGCAAAATTTCAGGGTAATTTTTGAGGGTATTTTTTTAATCCCCAAAAATTACCTTGACTTGGACCCTTAAAAATTAACTATGTAGTTAAAATAAATTAACTATTTTTGTTTCCTTAAAAATAAACTATTAGTTAGAAAATTGCCTCCAAAATCACTTTTAACTATTTTGCTCCAAATAACCTTGCCTGACCTATAGGGTGGCTACTAAATTTTACTATGGCTAGTAAATTGCAAAATTTACTTTACTAGGTCCTAGTAAATTTTACTACTAAATTTGAAAATTTAAGTAAATTAACGGGCTACTAAAATCACTAGATTTCGAGACTCAGGGTAAACGTCTACATTCATTGACGATCTTCAATGAGGGTTTAATTCTCCCCAGCCCCGTTAAACTTCTACATTCATCGAAGATCTTCAATGAGGGTTTAATTCTCCCAGCCCCGTTAAACTTCTACATTCATCGACGATCTTCAATGAGGGTTTAATTCTCCCCAGCCCCGTTAAACTTCTACATTCATTGAAGATCTTCAATGAGGGTTTAATTCCTCCCAGCCCCGTTAAACTTCTACATTCATTGAAGATCTTCAATGAGGGTTTAATTCCTCGCAGCCCCGTTAAACTTCTACATTCATTGACGATCTTCAATGAGGGTTTAATTCTCCCAGCCCCGTTAAACTTCTCTCAGCCGTGTGCACTCTTGCAGAAGGAAGCGTCGCAGCGTCGCAGCGCCAACAGCGTCGCAGCGTGGATCCCGCGTCGCAGCGTCGCAGCGCCAACAGCGTCGCTCCCGCGTCGCTCCCGCGACGCAGCGTCGCAGCGCCAACAGCGTCGCAGTGTCGCTCCAGCGTCGCAGCGTCGCAGCGTCGCAGCGTCACTGGCCCAACGGCAGCGTCGCAGCGTCACAGCGTCGCCGGCCCCTGGCAGCGTCGCATCGTCGCAGCGTCGCAGCGCCACCCGCCCCCCAGAGCGTCGCAGCGTCGCATGCCCCCGGGAGCGTCACAGCGCAACGTCGGAAACCCACGTTTTGGCCCCCTTTGCCCCTGCACTGAAATATCCTGTAAAAAGATCCCCCTTGACTGTACCTGTATGGAATGGAAGAACCCATGCCCCGTATGAAATGGAAAAACCAACATCATTTCATACACGGCCCATCTTGGAAAAAGGGGCAAAAAACCCTTAAATTTTGGTGCCATGTTACACCCCTCCATTTCATACAAAACGATGGTAATTCCATTACATACAGCTGCATTTTTCTTTGGAATCATTAGTCCCAAAATCGGCATTTCCATAATATAAATGTTGTTTGCTATTTTTTGGAAGGTTCCAATTTGAACACTTACGGAAACTTGGAGATCTGTTAATCAAATGGAAGTTTCTTTCAGCGATCGATGTCTTGAAAATGAACCACTGAATGTTTGAAAAGTGATTGTGGAAAAACATATATATATATATAAAAGATTGTGGATAATAACCACAAATAACCCACATAACCCATAAAACAACATATAATCCATATAACCAAGTATAAACGTGACATTTCTCATTTTCTCGTTGTTTCCCCCTGTTTGGTTACCCGTTGTGTTACCCTGTTGTTTTGTCCCGGTGTGAATCCCATCGTGTTGCCCCGTCCCTGCCGGGTCGAAGTCCTCGAGCCATAAGAAGTGTATAAAATGGATCAATCATGAAAAAGTCCAGTGTTTGAAACACGAAATACAGAAACAATAGAAGATTATCCATTTTATACACCGAAATGTGGGGTAAATCTGTCCAGATTTACCCCACATTTCGGTGTATAAAATGGAATAATCATGAAAAGTCTAGTATTTGAAACATGAAATACAGAAGACGCTCCATTTCATACAAGGGGAATTTCACAAACACCTATGTTGTTTATAAAATGGATCGTTCTGGTATGTTAACGTGTCCGAACATAAACAATAATTTTATCTTAAAATATCTTGAGATACCTTAAAATGACCCCCTCAAAAAACAACCAATTCCATAATATACAAGTCAAATTTTCTTGGTTTCAAGAGTTCATTTTTTTGCTATTTCCATAACATACTGGCGAAGCATTTCTTTGCATATCCGGCCTGCTAGGTAGTACAATGGTGGTATTCCATAATATATAAGCCCAAAAAAGGATCCATTCTATACAAATATACCTGTACCCAACCATTACATAAACCAGGTTTTTATGGAATGGTGGGGCACGGGTTCCTACCCATCAATCAAGGGGGGTGTAAAAAGAGGGACCCAGTTCTTTCTGACAAATATTTGAGACTCCTTGCAGATTTGAAACAATTGCATCGAAATCATTGCATCGAAATCACCCGAGGTGAGCTCACACTCTTGGGGCTTGTGCTCTTGAGGGTAGTATCTTGACCAGTTTGGCAACTGTTGTAGTCAGCATAATGAGTCAGTGTCAGTCGAGTGATGAACGATGATCGAATATGATCGACATGTTCTTTTGACTAAAATAGCCAGAGATAACCAGGGTACGTCAGTCAATGTCATATCATTATATATAATGTATTATCATGTCATACCATGTCATACCACACAGTGCTTTGAGCTAAGGCAACTGTCGTGGCTGCCACATACTGCAGCTGCTTGGAGATGCCACGGCATAAGTTCCTTGAGGCCTTGGATAAGCACCCAGAGGACTGCAGATCCGGTGGGATCGGTTGCTGAGATGCGAAATGCATCGACATGCATCGACGTTTGTCAGGAGACGGACCATTTCGAGCAGCTACAATCTCAGAGATCTCAGAGATCTCAGAATGTGTTATATAAATCTTATATAACTGTTGGTGGTTGCATTTTTGCTCTTGAAACCTTTGATCCACATTCATTGGACTGATGCACCCTCTGCGAATCTCCAGAATCTCCGAGCCAAGGCTGACCCGCCTTCATGCCAGCAAACTTGCCACAGAGCAGGGGACATGGCGCTTTCTTTCCAAGGCCAGAGTATGGCCAGAGTTGCTGCCGGGGTTCAGTGCTGATGTGTCTGAACTATCTTGAACCATTTGAAATGCCGTGGAGGCTTCGGAACGACTGTGCCATGACTGCAATCCTGGGATGGTACTGTAGAAATATGCGAACACGTGCAGCCAGCATGCTCTGTGGTCAGCTCAAGTCCAAGGCTCTACTACATCAACCTCCATTCAACTCGTGAAAGTAGCTTGCTTGCAAAGGACATCTTCGCTTGGTTGATCATCACCCATGCCGTACCTCACGGCTTTGCATTTTTCAAAGGAAAATTGTTATCGAGCACTGCGTTTATGAACTGGAGAATCTAAGAGAGTCGTGTCTCTTATTGGTATCTGCTAAAGAGATCTATACAAAGAGAATTAAAGAGATCTAAAGAGAATCTACACATCTACCACATATGCCTTGCGTAGTTGCCCTTGTGAAATATAATGATATGCTGCATGACATGTAGATTAGAATGGAATAGAATAGAATAGATGGATGGATGGATAGATAAGATAGAAAAGATAGATACGAATAAGATAGATAAGATTCAGATAGATAAGACAGATAAGATAGATAAGATAAATATACGTAGATAAGATAGATATACGTAGATAAGATAGATATTAGATTATATAAATTATATATATATTGGGCTCTGCCTCGTGACACTAACAGTGACCACAATTCATACCACAAAAAAAAGCACAAAAAAATCAGGTTGTAGTCCCCAATATGACTTTCATTTCCCCTTATTAAGGCTAGATGACCAGGCATATTCCCTGCAAGTTGGCTCCACGGTCGGCACATTTTCTTGCCATGCCCAGAAGTCCTTGCTGTCAAAATTCGACATTGGCATTTCCAATGGGATGCCTCATGCATCCAGCTTGTCAGCACCTTGTGGGTAGTGATGCTGCTGATTGCAAAGCAATATTGTTTAGGGTTTTGGATGCTGCCCATTGCAGCGATGATGGCAAAGCAATACTGTTTAGGGTTTCGGATGCTGCCCATTGCAGCGCTGATGGCAAAGCAACACTGGTTAGGGTTTAGGATGCTGCCCACCACAACGCCGATGGCAAAGTAATGCTGTTAGGGTTTAGAATGTTGCCCATCGCAGCGCCGATAGCAAAACAATAGAATGTGCGTGTACAATAAATATAAAGGCCGGGGCTGCTGGACTGACCCTGGGCAAGGCCTGGGGGCTGAGCCTGGGGGCTGAGCCTGGGGGCTGGGGAACGCTGGGGGACTAGCCTGGCGGGCTGGCTGGCTGAGGGGGGGGCTGGAGCTGGGCCGGGCTGGCCACTTGAAAATGCTTTAAAAGCAGCGACTTTCCAAAAGCAGAAAAAAAAGCAGAAAAAAGCAGAAAAAAAGCACAAAAAAGCACAAAAAAAAGCAGAAACTGGCGCAGGAAAAAAAGGAAAATGACTTTGTTTTTTTTGTGCTTTTTTTTGTGGTATGAATTGTGCTTTTTTTTGTGGTATGAATTGTGCTTTTTTTTGTGGTATGAATTGTGCTTTTTTTTGTGCTTTTTTTTGTGGTATGAATTGTGCTTTTTTTTGTGGTATGAATTGTGTGTTTTTTTGTGCTTTTTTTTGTGGTATGAATTGTGTTTTTTTTGTGCTTTTTTTTGTGGTATGAATTGTTTTTTTTGTGCTTTTTTTTGTGGTATGAATTGTGCTTTTTTTTGTGTTTTTTTTGTGGTATGAATTGTGCTTTTTTTTGTGCTTTTTTTTGTGGTATGAATTGTGGTTTTTTTTGTGCTTTTTTTGTGGTATGAATTGTGTTTTTTTTTGTTTTTTTTTGTGCTTTTTTTTGTGGTATGAATTGTGGTTTTTTTTGTGCTTTTTTTTGTGGTATGAATTGTGATTTTTTTTGTGCTTTTTTTTGTGGTATGAATTGTGGTTTTTTTTGTGCTTTTTTTTGTGCTTTCTGGCAGTTGAAAACAAATTAGATAATAGTTTCCCTTCACAATTTCAATGCGAACGGGCTGGAAATGCGCATGAATTGTGGTTTTTTTTGTGCTTTTTTTTGTGGTATGAATTGTGTTTTTTTTGTGCTTTTTTTGTGGTATGAATTGTGTTTTTTTTGTGCTTTTTTTTGTGGTATGAATTGTGCTTTTTTTTGTGCTTTTTTTTGTGGTATGAATGTGTTTTTTTGTGCTTTTTTTTGTGGTATGAATTGTGCTTTTTTTTGTGTTTTTTTTGTGCTTTTTTTTGTGGTATGAATTGTGCTTTTTTTTGTGCTTTTTTTGTGGTATGAATTGTGCTTTTTTTTGTGCTTTTTTTTGTGGTATGAATTGTGCTTTTTTTTGTGGTATGAATTGTGGTTTTTTTTGTGCTTTTTTTTGTGGTATGAATTGTGGTTTTTTTTGTGCTTTTTTTTGTGGTATGAATTGTGTTTTTTTTTGTGCTTTTTTTTGTGGTATGAATTGTGGTTTTTTTTGTGCTTTTTTTTGTGCTTTTTTTTGTGCTCGGGAGCGCCGGAAAAGCACAAAAAAAAAGCACAAAAAAGCACAAAAAAAGCACGAAAAAAACTTCGAAAAAAGTACAATTTCTTTGGAAAAAATGAATCTCAGGCCACCTGGCCTCGACAGCCTTCGGACCAGCGGCCCAGCAAATGTCTCACACCATTTCCTTTTTTCCAACCTCCTTTCCAAAAAAAAACTCTCAAGAGTGAGCCCATGCCAGGAGCGGGAATGTGAAAAAAATGGAATTATAATTATCACACGATGTTTATTAAGAACCTCAACAACTATTGTTGGAGGCACGCCTTTGTAACGCTTTTCACTTATAACTTACAATGGTTGGACCGTTTGATTGCAGTGTCTCGGTATCTCAGGTATGCTGCATTCAATATTGTAAAGAATGTCATGAGTCATAATATCGTATCATCATATCGATGCAACACCTTGCATCATCATACCATATCATTGCCATTGCTATTTGACACACAAATATTCAGATAAACAAAATCATGTCAGCTGTCAAACTTCCCAGAACCATTCCAACGTTCCAACCATCAAAGGATATCAGCAGCAACATCGATACTTTGGTTTTTTGGCTAGTTGATGACAAGTTCAGCAAACATGTCCTGATGGCTCCAACAATATGGCGCAATACAAAAGGATGTTCGTTAAAATGATTTAACAATGCCACCTGAAAGGTAGTGATGTTGTTGCATTCACTACTCCACCCTTTGTTACTTGTACGGCCCACCTAGATCACATCTTCTCCTAAGCAGACCCTAAGGATCCCCTAAAATGGCCTGAGTTACCACCAATATGATTGTGCTTTTTTGGTATGTGGTTTATGAAAGGGGGGCAGTTTTGAACTGTTAGTGGGCGGAGGCAGACCTCAATATATATATATATATTAGATAGATAGTTTCGACAGATTATATGGATAGGTAGGCAGACAGACAGACAGACAGACGGACAGATAGATAAATAGTAAGATAGATAGATACAAAGACGCATGGATAGATAGGGGATAGGGGCAAAAAAAATCCTGATCAAAAAAATCGGGATCAAACACATCATGGATAGATAGTTTCGAGATCAAAAAACAACGGGCTAGATAGGAATGAAGGAAGGAAGGAGGGAAGGGAAGGGAAAGGAAGGGAAAGGAAGGGAAAGGAAGGGAAAGGAAGGGAAAGGAAGGGAAAGGAAGGGAAAGGAAGGGACAGGAAGGGAAAGGAAGGGAAAGGAAGGGAAAGGAAGGGAAAGGAAGGGAAACGAAGGGAAAGGAAGGGAAAGGAAGGAAAAAGGAAGGAAAAAGGAAGGGAAACGAAGGGAAAGGAAGGGAAAGGAAGCAAAAAGGAAGGAAAAAGAAGGGAAAGGAAGGGAAAGGAAGGGAAAGGAAGGGAAAGGAAGGGAAAGGAAGGGAAAGGAAGGGAAAGGAAGGGAAAGGAAGGGAAAGGAAGGGAAAGGAAGGGAAAGGAAGGGAAAGGAAGGGAAAGGAAAGGAAGGAAAGGAAGGAAGGAAAGGAAGGAAGGAAAGGAAGGAAGGAAAGGAAGGAAGGAAAGGAAGGAAAGGAAGGAAGGAAAGGAAGGAAAGGAAGGAAAGGAAGGAAAGGAAGGAAAGGAAGGAAGGAAAGGAAGGAAAGGAAAGAAAGGAAGGAAAGGAAGGAAGGAAAGGAAGGAAGGAAAGGAAGGAAGGAAGGAAAGGAAGGAAAGGAAGGAAGGAAAGGAAGGAAAGGAAGGAAAGGAAGGAAAGGAAGGACAGGAAGGACAGGAAGGACAGGAAGGACAGGAAGGACAGGAAGGAAGGAGGGAGGGAAGGAAGGAAGGAAGGAAAGGAAGGAAAGGAAGGACAGGAAGGACAGGAAGGACAGGAAGGACAGGAAGGAAAGGAAGGAAAGGAAGGAAAGGAAGGAAAGGAAGGAAAGGAAGGAAAGGAAGGAAAGGAAGGAAAGGAAGGAAAGGAAGGACAGGAAGGACAGGAAGGACAGGAAGGACAGGAAGGATGGAAGGAGGGAGGGAAGGAAGGAAGGAAGGAAAAACTAAGGGCACAAATGTTGCCAGAAAAGATGCCAAAGATAGTGGCCAACAATAATGCCAAAGAATATCAGGTAGGATACCGGATTAGTTTCAGAAACCACGTCAGAATACAGGCCAATCAGTTCATATAATATCAGAAAGTCAGGTAGAGTTTCAGCTAAAACGTCCAATGGCAAATCAGAATCTGTTTGCCGCATATATTTTCAAATGGTATGGCAGAAATTTTACCGCGATAATGTATTAGGCAGGATCACTTGAATTAAAGTAATTTGGTTGCTAGATTGCCTGTGAAAACAAGTATTATCATTCTGCTTTGGGGGAGGCGCTGCGCCCTCCCCACAATCCCCCCTCCCGCTTATTCAAGTCACACTTGCATTACGCTTCTCTGCATGCGTGTATATATATATAATCCCCTGGCCAGTTTCCCCTATAGAATTGGGACACCTAGGTGCTGTATAAAACGATTTTTTTTATACAGGTCCCCCCTCAATTTCAGCTGCCCTGTTTGCCTTGTTTTGGTGGGCTCTAATTTTATCTCAAAACCCCGGGTCCTGATTTTATATTTTTTTTTTGGTGCCTAAATTTAGTGACCTAGGGCTTCAATTCTATAGCAGGCTCCAATTCTATAGGGACATGTGTTGGTTTTGTATGGTTTTGTTCAGTTGCCAATTTTATAGTGTATCAATGCAAGGTTTCATGAACCAAAG